GAGGTTTGGGGAGTCTCGACTAATTTATCTATTAATCACTTTTTGTTGTTGTTAATCCTCACCCAAGGATATTTTTCCCATTGATTTTTAGAGAGAGTATAAGGGAGGGGGGAGAGAGAAACATTGCTTTGAGAGAGACATATCTATTGGTTGGCCCCGCACGACCCTAAATGGGGCTGAATCTAGAACTTAGACTTTTTTTTTATCCTCACCCAAGGATATTTTTGCATTTATCTTCAGACAGAGTGGGAAAAAGAGAGGGGGGAAGAGAGAGAGACACATCGAGTGGTTGCCACCCGCACAACCCCAACTGAGGCTGGGGACAAACTGCAACCGAGGTACGTGCCCTTAGCGGAAACCGAACCTGGGACTCTATGGTCCACGGGCCGATGCTCTAACCACTGAGCAAAACCATCCAGGGCTAGAACTTAGACTTTTGAGAGAACCCTACTCTCCTTTCTACCTGTGGGGTTAACTTCACTCCGGAGTCGGAGTGAACGAAACTGACTGATGAGTCCGGTGGCTGTGTCCCAGATGATAAAGTCTATACCTATACCCTGGGTCATTCTCATTTTTTCATCACTTGGTAATTGCTTTACTTATAATAGGTAGTGTAGTTAGGATGAGCAAGTTCATGGTGTAGGCGGAACGAATTTTTCCATGACAATAAGCTTTCCTTGTTACACCACTCGCTGCTGCTGCAACTCTTCTGATTTAAGGATCAACAGCCTGCTCTGTTTGCACAGATTATGCCTACCCAGCATGACTCTCCCCTACTAAAGCACACAACAAATCCAGTTTTGTCTTTTTTATTGCATAGTTGTCTCATCAGCCTTTAACGAACCAAACCCCCAAACTAACTAAAAAGATCATTCTGATTGCTGTGTGAGCAACATACACAGAAACGCAGTGGAGGAAGTAGGGAACCCAGTAAAGGCTGTTGAAAAATCTTTGGGAAAGTGTCCATCAGTAGACGAATGGATAAAAAAGCTGTGGTACATATACACAATGGAGTACTATGCAGCTGTAAGAAAGAAAGATCTCTTATCCTTTGGGACTACATGGAGGGACCTGGAAAGTATCATCCTAAGTGAAACAAACCAAACAGAGAAAGACAAGTTTCATATGATCTCACTTATTTGTGGAATATAATGAACATAACAGTCTGAAGAAGGGGGTAGTCCCAGGGACGCGGAAGTGGGATACAGACTGACAATCCCCTAAATAAGGGGGTGGTGGGGGAGAGATAAACCACAGAACTTATATGCATGAACAGTGGACATGGACAACAAACTGGGGAAAGGGCAGGGAGGGAGGGGGAGGGGGTAATCAGTGGGGGAAAAAGGAGAAACATCTGTAACAAAAATTAATTAATAAAAAAAAGGAAAGAAAAATCTTTGGGAAGCAAACCCCTGGCGTTATAAAAAGTTATATATATAAAAAAAGGATACATTTGACAGTAAAAAGCGTTTGGAATATATACCATAAACATACTAAAGTAAATATTTTCAACTCACAGGTAGACAAAGAGCCAATTTCATCAATAAAAGCAAGCCAATGAGTCACTTGAGAAAAATGATTGAAGGCTGTGAAGAGAATTCCCAGAAAACAGAAGTTGCTATTAGTCATATAAAAGAGGCTCAATTCACTCAATATAATAGAAATGCAAATTGAGACACACTATTATAATCACTTTTTACTTATTAGATTTGCAAAAACCAATAATCTGGTAACAAGCTTAAATAGGGATGGTGTGAGAAATAGGCTTTTTCTTGCATTGTTGGTGGGAGTGTAAATTGCTATAACTTTCAATGGGAACAATTTGACACTATCTAACAAAAATTTAGAAGTGGACCTATTTGACCCAGTGATTCTACTTTTAGGAATGTATCCTGTATGTCAACATATGTGAAATGACCATTGTCCAGGCAAGTCACCTCAGTATTGTGTATAGTAGTTTGTATATACAGTGGTTTGCAAATAGTATATATTATTTATAGTAGTATATATAGTAGTTTGGAAACAACTGTTCATTAATAAGAGGCTTGCTAAATAAATTATAATACATTCATACAACAGAATCCTTTGCATCTGTTAAGAAAATTGAAGACAATCTCAAACTGAAAGAAAACTGGCTGAAAGTAAAAAAAAAACAAAACTGTGTGGGATAGCTCTGAAAGGATATACAATAATCTAGCAATGGTAATTACTTCCCAGAATACTAACACTAGGGAGGCAGAAAAGACTTGTTTTGAACTCTAGTCTCTTTGGTAGTGTTTGAATGTCATCTCAGGTGTAAGTATTTCTCATTAAAAATAAGCAAAATAAAACATTTAAAGAGCCTGTTGCAGTTGTCCAGGTGATACCAGTTCGTTGCGAACAGTGGTGGTGGAGAGCATGTATGGACTCAGGACATATTTTTGGAGAAAAATTGCTATGACAACTCCAAAGATGGAGCAGAGTTAGGAGATGAGGTAAGTAAGCCATCAAGAACAACTGGTAGGCTCAGGGCTAGCAACTTCTGGGGAGCTCCTAGGGAGGAACAGGTACAGCATGTGTGAGAGAACTTGATTCTGTTCTGGATACGTTAAATTTGAGATGCCTATTAGTCATCCACGTGATGTCAAGTAGGCAGCTGGAATAGCAGTCTTACCGCTCAAGAAAAGAATCTGGAATGAAGGTATCAGCATATAAATCTGCACTAATAAACAGAAATATAATGTAAGCCACATATATAATCTAACATTTTCTAATAGCCATATTAAAAGTAAAAGCAGGTGAAATTAATTTTAACATATCCTATTTGGCCCAATATATGTAAATATTATCCTTTTAATACACAATCAGTATAAAAACCAAAAAGATAGTTTACATTCTTTTTTTTATTCTAAGTCTTTGAAACCTGGTGTGTATTTCATACTTACAGCACATCTCAATTAGGACTAGCTATGTTTCAAGTGCTCAACAGCCACACCTGGTGAGGGCTACCTATTGGGCAGCAGAGATAATGCTGATATTTAAAGCTATGGGACTAGATGAGTGGAGTGGGCTTTGGAGCTCTTGAACATTTGGATTTGAGGTAGCAGAGGAGAAGCTGACAAATGAGATAGCAAATAAGAGACCCCAGTAAACTAGGAGGAAAACAAAGCAAATGTAGTGTCAAGAGGGCCAGGAAAGGGAGCTGCCAACTGCATCAACTAGTGCTCAGAAATCGAGTAAGATGAGGACAGAGAAGTGACCACTATAATTGAAAAGATGGAGTTGCCAGTCACCTTGGCAAGACAATTTCACTAGACTGGAGGTGCCTCCTTCAGAGCTGAAGAGAGAAGGGGCGGTGGAAAGTGGAGACATCACGTATAAACATCTCAAGGGCAACATTTCCAAACTGATCTATCTCCTGACACTCCTCCACTCTCTTCCTATATTCTGATCTCTACCAGGAGCCCAAGCTAGAGATCTGGGACACATTCTCAAATTCTTCCTATCTTTCAGACTTCATATGCTGTTATTTACAAAATCATCCCCATGTTATCTCCTAAATACTTTTTTGGGTCTCTTTTGCTTCATAGCTGTTTCCCCCCTATAGGCCACTGCTACCTCCAATCTTCCTAATACTTAATGATCCTCATGGTTATTCAACCTCTGACCTTGAAACTCAAAATTTTGTTGGCAAAGCCTGGGGAGAACCAGAAAGTGGGGTGGGGGCTGGTGGTAGGGTTGTGTTGCCACATTGAATTTTTAAAAACATAAATCTTTCATTCTTGCTGCTCTGCCCAAAATCCTTGCATGGATTCTCACAGGTCAGGTTTAGTGTTTTCTACTCTAGAGTCCCTTCCTTCGCTGTCATTCCCAGGTCAATAGGGACACACACATCTAATTGTCTTTATCATCCCTCCTAACCATCCCCCCACCCCCACCCCCTGCCCTCCCCCACCCCCTGCCCTCCCCCTTAAACAGGCACCATGACTCCTAGCTTAGATGTCCACTTCAAGGGCTTCGCCACTCCCCTCCTCTTTGCTGCCACTTTCCTCCAAGGCCGCTCAAGCTATTCTGCTCTTCTCCCTTTCCCAAATGTCTCCCCCAGGCATTAAAAAAAAAAGAATGTAGTGCGTATTTCTGTCTGTAATAACTCCATCCTGACCCTCAGTTACTGCACCTGGCAGTTACTTTTTTGAAAACATGAGGACCTTGAGAAACCCAAAGAAAACTATAAAGATAAGGAGTTAATGATGGCTTTGGGAAACTCAGGAGTCACAAAAATAAAGAGGTTAATGGTTGCCCTGGTCTCTGTAACAGCTTCTCTTGCCCTCCCTTCTATCAGCCCCTCCACCCCACTTCAGGGCACCAATTAAGCGGAGCCAAGAAGAATGTAGGTTTTTTTGAATGTAGTTTTTTTTCTGTAGTTTGGGCCTATATAAACAAAGAACAAAGGAAGCACGAGGCTGAGGATTTGGGGAAGCTGTACCCCTGCAGCCTGCAGGTGGTATAATAAAGTGCTCCTTTACAATTGGGCTGTGCATCTCTGGTTTTCTCGCTGACACATTACATGTCCTTACTCTCATCCCATTCATCCCTTCATCATGTTGCTTTGAACGGTTATCAGTTTGAGTTCACCTCTCCATGGAAACCTCACACTCTGAGGTCTGAGACTGGAGCAGAAGGTCCCAATCGAGTCTGCACGAGCAGCCCAGAGGCGGCGGAGAGCAGCGTGCAGGCCGCAGCCCCGAGCCAGGGCGGAGGGTGGGAGGCCGCGCTCCCCCCAGGGCGCAGGCGCCGGCTGCAAGGGGCGCTTTGCTAGAAGTCAGGGGTCACAAGTGGTGCGGTGAGCTGGGAGGCCGAGGGTGAGCGCCTAAGGGACCTGAGACTCACGAACCGCTTGCCCCTGCGAACACACCAAAACCTCACCTCCAGTCCTCCCCGCAAGCCCCGCCCCCTACGTGGTCACGTGAGCGTGGCCCTGCGTGCCCTGTCGCGACGTCACGTGAGCGACCGGGGTCATGTGGCCTGAATCTCGGCTGGGCTCAGCCCTGCGCGATCCCGGCCGGGGCCGGAGTTGCCGCCGCTCTAGCCTCTGGGTCTCCTGCCGGCCCGATGGAGGAGGAGGAGGAGGAAGCGCGGGGGCTTCTGAGCAGCGGCCCCCACGAGGCCGGGAGCGATGCCCCCGCCACCCCCGGGGCGCTGCCGGCGCTCTGCGACCCCAGTCGCTTGGCGCACCGGCTTTTGGTGCTGTTGCTGATGTGCCTCCTCGGCTTCGGTGAGCGGCCGGGCCGGGCGGGCGGCCGGACACCGTGTCTGGCTCTCGGAGCTCGGGATCAGCTCCCAGTGGGGCCGCCGGGCCTCAGTGGCTTCCTCCCCCTTCGCGGGCCCGTTCCAGCCCGTGGCGCCCCGAGGAGGGGTCGGGACCGAGCTGGCGAGTCGTGTCCCTCCTGCTCCTGGACTCCGTGGAGTCCCGAGGCTGGCCACTCACCCCTGGGGCCTCGGCCGGGAGGATCTCTGGGTCGCCAAGTCCCTCTCCCGGCGCTTTGTTCGGAAAGTTTGAACTGTGTCCCTTCCTTCCCCGCTCCCTTGTCCGCATGAGATATACTTCTGTTTTAAAAAGTCAGTACTTTTGTTGGTAGGCTTACAAGTTTCTCAGCCTTTGGAAATCGTGTGAGTGTCTCGCTGACAGCCTGGGAGAGGGACGTGTTAAGTCTTACTCTCCGCGCTGCCGCCGTGAAGCAGGCGGTGGACTTGCAGGCTTGGCCGTGGTTGGTTCCACTTGGGTCATCTGATGACTCCGGAGGCAGATTCTTGAGATAATTTTTGAAACATCTTCCTGTGTTCCAGCAAGTAACTTACTCAGCAACATTGTAATGTCCATATTAGTTTGGTATGAAAGGAATGTTTTTTTTCAGGGGGCTCACAGGAACCGGTGTAATTAACAAGTTTAGGAACATGATGGTGGATAACTTGCTGCTGCTGGAATACATAAGTAGGCACGAAGGATGCTTTGGGCTTCAGTTTCTTTGCTAGTCTTTTTGAGCACCCCCCCGCCCAGTCCCTTTTAAAATGATTTGAGAGAGACAGAGAGACATGATTTGTTCCACTTATCCACACATTCATTGGTTGCTTCCTGCATGTGCCTTGACCCGAGATAGAACCCGAACCCTTTGCATCCTGAGGAGGCTCTAACCCACTGATCTATCTAACCAGGGTCCCCAATCTCTTTTTGGAAAAAAGATGTCCATCCATTAGCTTTAAATCATGATAGTGGTACCCCTTACAATGGTGATTAAAGCAGGAATCACAAATTGCTGGTTTAGGAACAAAATAGAACAACATAAAACATTTAAAATGGTCCCTTTTCAAGTAGACAGATCGTTTTTGGTAACATGGTTACTTTCCTGGGTTTCAGAATCCAGGTTCATACCCTTCTAATGACAGCCTTTCTTTCTTTTGAATCCATAGCTTCTATGTACTTTTAGAGATAGTAAGTGGTAAAATGGAAGCAGTATTATCTTGAAGTCTACCACAAATTTGTCAATTATAGTACTTTAAAAATAAATCTCTAAATGAATGTCGAACCTCTCTTCACTTCCTTCTTACCCACCAACAGACAATTTTATGTTTTTACTTCATCCTTTAGAACTGTATTTTATTTTTCTTCCCTCCTGGCACTATGTTTGTTAAATTATTTGATTTGGAGCATTCTATGTGTAGCATTAGAACTCTTATTTCAGATATTACTCAGAGTAGTTCAGCTTCATTCCTCTGCTCTTAAGATAAGTGGTGGCCTCAGGAAGCATTACTAGGAAACTACTGATGATCTTTGTGAAATTTTTAGTGTGTCTGTCTTGGTAACTTTAAATAAGGAAAATACAGTTTCATGAAGATGCTAAGGAAATAACAGACATATGAAGCATCATGAAAGTAAAATGGAAGAACAGTTATTGATTAACTTCTTGGTTCAGGTTACCAGTATTTGCTGTATATGCACACTAATAACTTGTAAATGATTTGGCATGTGTTCTCTGGGTTATTTGGCTACAACTTAGAAAATAATGATGGACAGGGAAATGGTTTAAAAACTCTCCGGAGTGTCAGTCCTCGAACCCAAGAATAAACATTTAAAATCACCATTTGAGTAGTAATTGCAACTTGAAACTCTTATTTGGATAGTATTATTACTTAGAAAACATTTATGCTTTCTTTTTCTAGGCAGCTATTTTTGCTATGATAATCCTGCTGCCCTTCAGACTCAGGTTAAACGGGTAAGTTGATTTTTCACCTTTGTTTGATTCTGGATAGGTGTAGCTGTTGAAGCTTCAGGTTGCATGGTCTGCAGCAATATCCAGTGAATCCATGTAAATATCTATAATCACCAAAACTGTGTGTGGCAGGGAGTGTTCTTAAGTTGTAATAAATGGCCACAAAATTCATTTATAGCACTCATTTGTAACTTGACATTGTTTCACAACTTAGATAAATAATTATGTGCTATTTCCACAGCATTGCCAAAAAGTAGTATTAGCAGATTTCTGTTTGCTTTTCATTGTCCCTTTGAGTAATCACCTGAATGACAAATCATTTGCTAGGATAGCTTTTTGCCTTATTAAGTATGTTTTGTTGTTATTTTGTTTTTTAAATGTGGATACTGATTGCAGAAGATTGTCTAGTTCAGTATTTTTAGTCTGGTTTTGTAAAAATGAATTTGATAGTTAAAATTTCTTGTGCATTTAGATAGTCTCATTTCTATGTCTTCGGACAGAGAGAAATGTATAGATTGGCCCTTCACATTCTAGAATGAAAGGGAAGGAAGGTAGAGTTAGTGGAGGGAGACTAAGATTATTTTTTCCCATGAGGTGGGGCGCCCCAGTGCAAGTAGTATAGGGGGAAGAAGAATATAGAATATAAAGGCAGATACAGACACAGGTGGTCTCCATGTGGGGGATCTGATTGATCCTGGACTCCACGAAGCCTCTGAAATGGCCTGTGGACTCAGGAAGGTCCTAGGTGTGACCTTTTTCTGAGGCAGGGGCTATAGCTGCCATGAGAATCCCAGAGCAGTTAAGTGACTGCAAATGGTTAAGAAACTCCTTTCCTACACAGAAAAAATGTTTTGATTTGTTTGTTACTAAGCTTAACAGTTTGGAAAAAATAGTTTTATTTTCTTTCCATATAGGATATGCAAGTGAATACCACGAAATTTATGCTGCTGTATGCCTGGTATTCTTGGCCCAATGTAGTTTTGTGTTTCCTTGGTGGCTTTTTGATAGACCGAGTATTTGGAATACGGTAAGCTTGAAAAAAAAATCTCACCTATTGGTAAAATCTGATTATTAGGAAAACACAGAATTAAATTAAATTTCTAGAAAGAATTGAATACAATTCTGTATTGCTGTGATATTCTGCATTAGTTTTTTTCCTAAAGGTATTTTTATATCTCGGGAATTGGTTTTTCGAACGAGATTGGCATTTCAGTTACAGTTGGGACTTACGAACTAAGGTAACTCAGTTAAGTCCCCACTGGGATCAGGCAGGCCACGTGTGAGTCCCAGTGCTGCCACTTGCTCACTGTGCCAGCTCTTCGGCTGTCCGGGCTTCCTGAGCTTCAGTTTCTCATTGGTAGAGTACAGACCATCATTCCTGCCTTGCAAGGAGGTTAGGACTGAGAGATGGATGCACAGTAATGGACACATATGTAGCATTTGCCTCTCCCTAGTGAGACTTTCTCTCGGCTTTTCTTTGGGCATTGTCTCGGCTTTTCTTTGGGCATTGAACTTTTGTGACCACTTCTCTTAGATACTGAGAGAGGAATAACACGTAAGCTTTGTCACTTTTCACTCTTATGATTGTGCGTGTGTTGTTAGTGGAGGCTTTAAGAGGGATATAGACATGGGAATATTTTCAAAAGGCAGAGGACAAATTGATGTCTGATGGGAAAGCACTGAAGAAACTCTGAGTGTTTAGACTTGGGGACTTATATTTAAAATTTTTGAAGAGTTAAGATATAAAGGAGGATTTAAAATTTTTTTGCTTGATCTAGAGGGATAGAATTAGCTGGAAACTTCAAGGGAACAGATTCCACTTAGTATGTTGCAGACTTTGGTCACTCAGGTTGGCAGGATGGGCCATGAATTGCCTTGGGGCCATGGGGGGTTTTCCAGTGCTAAATGAGGTGTGGCCATTTCATGGGGTGCGGGGGAGACTTGGGATTCAATACCTTTACTACTGTGCTCCTCAAGGACTTTTCCAACACCAGCATTTTATTACTCTGGGGAAATGTTAATCAGATGTTCCAAGTGTAGGATGTTTGAGTAAAAAGACTTGTAAATGTATTCACATGGTTGGTATTTGTCCTTTTAAAAACAGTTGTTATCAAGAATTATAGCCCTGGTCAGTTTGGCTCAGTGGTTGGAGCGTTGACCCGTGGACCAGAGAGTCCTGGGTTCGGTTCCTGCTAAGGGCATGTACCTTGGTTGCAGTTTGTCCCCGGCCCTGGTTGGGGTTGTGTGGGTGGCAGCCAGTTGATGTGTCTCTCTCACATTGATGTTTCTCTCTCTCTCTCTTCCCCCCTCCCTCCCTCCCACTCTATCTGAAGATAAATGCAAAAAATGTCCTCGGGTGAGGATAAAAAAAAAGAATTATAACCGCCCTGGCCGGATTGGCTCAGCGGTTGGAGTGTTGGCCTGCGAGCCAGAGAGTCCCAGGTTCGGTTCCCGCTAGGGGCACGTACCAAAAAAAAAAAAAAAAAAGAATTATAACCACTTAAAATTACTTAATCTGGCATTCCTTAGAATTAATCTTAAAGTCTCATTAGGAATTTTATAAAGAATGTCTATTTTTTTTTTCTTTATTGATTTTAGAGAGAGAGGAAGGGAGAGGGAGAGAGAGATAGAAACATCGATGAGAGAGAACATCGATTAGCTGCCTCCTGCATGCCCCGACTGGGGATTTGGCCCACAACCTGGGCATGTGCCCTGACCGGGAATTGAATTGGCGTTCTCTTGGTGCATGGGTCAACATTCAGTCACTGAGCCACACTGGCCAGGCAAGAATGTCCATTTTTATTTTATTTATTTTTTATTCTTCACCCGAGGATATTTTTCCATTTATCATTAGATAGAGTGGGAGGGAGAGAGAGACAAAGAGAGACAGAGAGAAACATCAATATGATAGAGTCACATCTACTGGTTGCCTCCTGCACGACTCAACCAGGGTCGGGGATGAACTGCAACTGAGGTACGTGCCCTTGAACAGAGTTGAACCCGTGACTTGTTGGTCCTGGGGCTGACACTCTAACTGCTGAGCAGACCAGCCAGAGCAAGAATATCACTTTTTAAATTGGAACCATGGGTACTTCTTGAAGATTAATGTTTTGTTTAAGGGATGACAGTGGTTTAAATGAACACATGCCATTACCAAAGCCTCTGGAATCCCCTCATTCCGCAGAGGCAGACCAGCGCTTCATTTTCTTTCCTTGGAAGGAATGCAGAGGAGTCAAAGAAAACATCTCTGAAGGATATGGTGACTGACATATTCTTAATTCATATTCTCTCTTTTCCCCCTTCCCAACAGATGGGGCACCATTATTTTTAGCTGCTTTGTTTGCATTGGACAGGTAAGAAAGGTGAAAACATTCATTAAGTAAGTGATAGTGACTTGAACTATTTTCTAATTCCAACAAAGATGTGTTTAATGAGTGCGTAACTTAATTAAGCAGGGTCCACAAATGCCCATATAGTATGAGGCATAATCTATTTTAAGGCTTAAGACAGATGTACATTAATGTTTTAATTTCACAGATTTACTAAAAAGGAATATTAAAATTATCTTAGAAGTTGTGATTTATCAAGTTACTTAATTTCTCTTGAATACCTTGAATTTACATTTTCATTGATTCTACATTATATTCTGCATTATAGGTTATTTTTGCTCTGGGTGGAATATTTAATGCATTTTGGCTGATGGAATTTGGAAGGTTTGTGTTCGGGTAAGTTATGCATAATTTCATTTGTCCTAATACATTGTTTTGGTGTTCAGCTATCAGTTTACTAAGGATTTACAAAAAATATGTTACTATCTCTTACAGAGTATTACTTCAAGTCCTTGAAATGTAGCCACATATAAATAAGACTGTTTATTAGTTGTCTTAATTTTCCTTTAAAGTAAGCAACAATTTTTTTTCTCTTTAATCCTCACCTGAGGATATTTTTCTATTTATCTTCAAATAGAGTGGGAGGGAGGGAGAGAGAGAAACATCGATGTGAGAGAGACATATCGATTGGTTGCCTCCTGCAGGACCACAACCGCGGTACATGCCCTTGACTGGAATCGAACCTGTGACTCTTTGGTCTGTAAGCTGACACTCTAACCACTGAGCCAAACCAGCCAGGGTCTAAGAACAATTTTGAGTGGCTATGGTTAACTCTGTATGGGGTTTGAATATTAACTAGTTCTCCGAAAATGTTATTTTTTTCTAGGTGTTTTACTCTTCTGTTGTATTGAAGACTATGATTTAAACCTCATTTTTAGTATTATAGTGTAGACCATCCGTTTCCAGGTTGGTGATTCATGGATGTTTTTTGTTTCTTAGTGGGTAATGTGCAGGTCCTTTTGAACCCTGTTGGAAAGGCTTGAATGAACAAAATACCAATAGACTGATTGTTCTTCATGAATTTCAGTGTTGTTCACTAAGCCCATTTCGAGCTTCCTGACCTGAGGGGACGCAGATGATAGAACTTACTCAGTCTTTAACTTAAAAGTATAACTTATTCAGTCTTTTTACTGGTACTAGGGACGTGTAGACATGTGACACACTCCAAAAATGGTTCTAAGTGAAACAGAAGGGAACAAAATGTATATAAAGATAGAAAGAGATTCAGATGTAACTGTGGTCAGAAGTAACTGTGGCTTTCCAGAAAACGTGGGCTTTGCCATCAGTATGGAATTTGGATTAGTAGAAGAGAGGGGAGCTATTTTTGAACTAGGTTGGACAGAGTGGCTCAGTGTTAGGATATGGAGGAGAAGCAGCTCCTAACTGAAGGCCTGGAGGTGGAGGGTGGTCAGTATATAGAACTTTTCTATAACCCAGGAAGTAGGAGAATGTTGAATATGGAAGGTGTTGGCCTAAAAAGTGACTTTCTGTGTTTTCTCAAAGTATGACTCACTCTTCACATGAACCTTTTATATAGCATAATGGTAACGTGGTAACCCAGAGTCCCTTTATTGCTTGTCAGGGTTATTATTGCAGCGTATTAAATTCCCCAGTACTTCGCAGTGGACTTTGTAGGTTAGGAACTTGGACAGGGTACAGCATGGACGGCTTGTCTGTACTCCTGCTGTCTGGAAGGTTGCACGGAAGGCCGCGGGCTGGAGTCATCTGAAAGCTCGTTGGTTCACGTGTCTGGAGCCTGGCTGGGGTGGCTTGAAAGACTGGCACTGCGGGCTGCAGGGCCTGAGTGTGGCCTCTCCACGGGGCTTGGCTTTCTCACTACTCAGGGTAGTTGGTCTTTTGCAAGGTGCTCCAAGTGGGAGTGATTGATGAAAAAACAGGTGTCATCTTTTACGACCCAGTCTTGGGATCACACAGCGTTATGTTCACCATATTCTATGGTACAAACAGTCACAAGCCCACCTGGATTCAAGGGAGGAGACAGTGACACCACCCTTTTTTTAATCCTCTCCCGAGGACATTTTTGCATTCATCTTGAGATAGAGTGGGAGGGAGAGAGGGAAAAAGAGAGAGAGAAAAACATCGATGTGAGAGAGATACATCGAATAGTTGCCCCCACACGACCCCAACCAGGGCTGGGGACAAACTGCAACCGAGGTACGCGCCTTTAGCGGAACCGAACCCAGGACTCTCTGGTCTGCAGACCGATGCTCTAACCCAGTGTTCTCAACCTGTGGGTCATGACCCCTTTGGGGGTCGAATGACCCTTTCACAGGGGTCGCCTAAGACATAACAGCAGCAAAATTACAATTATGAAGTAGCAACAAAAATAATTTTATGGTTGAGGGTCACCACACGAGGAACTGTATTAAAGGGTCATGGCATTAGGAAGGTTGAGAACCATTGCACTGCTGAGCCAAACCGGCCAGGGCGCAACACCACCTTTTGATAGGAAGGGTGTCAGAGTTTTACACCTGCTGCATTCTAACTGTGGTCTTTTTTAAAAGCTTGGCTTTTTGCCCAGCTGATGTAGCTCAGTGGTAGAGCGTCGACCCATGCACCAAGAGGTCACCGGTTCGATTCCTGGTCAGGGCACATGCCCAGGTTATGGGCCCAATCCCCAGTGGGAGGCATGCAGGAGGTGCCAGTCGATGTTCTCTCTCATTGATGTTTCTCTCTCCCTCTTCCCTTCCTCTCTCTCTAAAAATCAATCAATAAAATAAAATAAAATAAAAGCTTGACTTTTCTTCCTTTCCCCATTTTTTAGGATCGGTGGGGAGTCCTTAGCAGTTGCTCAGAATACATATGCTGTGAGTTGGTTTAAAGGCAAAGAATTGAACCTGGTGTTTGGACTCCAACTTAGCATGGCTAGAATTGTAAGTATGACAAACCTAATGAAGCCAAAAGCAAACAAAAGATTGAATCCTACAGTTCTTGCAAAATTTACAGAATGAGCCTGGCTGGTGTGGCTCAGTGGTTGAGCATTGACCCATGCACCAAGAGGTCACTGGTTCAATTCCCAGTCAGGGCACATGCCCAGGTTGTGTGCCCGATCCCCAGTGAGGGGCTTGCAGGAGGTGGCCAGTCGATGTTCTCTCTCATCAATGTTTCTCTCTCTCTCTCCCTCTCCCTTTCTCTCTCTCTAAAAAAATAAAGAAAAAAGAAATTAATAGGATGAAGTGTTTGTGTAAGACAACTTAGGTATGGATTTTTAAAATATTGCTCTAGACCAGAGTATGGCATTTACCTTACTTTAATTAAGGCATTTCTAACCTTATTTCACTTGAGAAACAGTCTAAAATGGCTAAATGAGCACTCATTAGTTCAAAGAATCTGAGCATTAGAATGGCTCTTAGTAGGTTTCATTGTCTAGTTTCTTTACCCATTTCAGCATCCCTGCCGTAAGTCTTCACATGTGGTCATCTCCTGGCTCTACTCCATGTTTTCAGTGATGGGAGCTTACTGTGGGAAGGCAGCCCATCTACCCCTGGTAACTTGGTGAAGTTCAGTCTCACATAGAGATGACATCACCTGCACAAGGAACTTGTACTGGTGGCCCTGACTTTGGCCTTCTGTAGTTAGTGGTTATGTCCTTGCACCAGCACTTTCCTTATGAAGACGGCTCTTAAGTTCTTGGTCAGATATGCGCATTTCCTGTGTTTGTCTAAGCACACGACTTGGATTTCAGCTCCCTGACCGTGGTGCTGCACCTTTCTGGACTTATGGCAGGTCTCCAGTCGGTACTCCTCATGTCTGAAACCTGCAAATGGTCATGATGTTTCAGGTTTGGGCTGATAGAGGGTACGCAGGGGAACAACATTATGCTTTAATTAATGCAGCCTGTAACGTGTTTTGGCAGCCTCAAACCCCGTTAGTTTTTTCCTTATTAACTCCTTTGAATACAGTTTTTTTGTTTTTGTTTTTTAATTTGCCATTAAAAATCAAGGTTTCAGACTAATAAAGGGAATGAAATGTTTATAACACATTCTTAGGCTTGAAGAAATCCAGTATACAAAGTTTTTAATGTAATATTTCATCATAAGAAATATATGACATATTTTGTACATGTGGGTTTTGTCCATATTGTGAACAGTGCTGTTTGGGACACTGTAAAACTTATCTGCCTCTGTTTCCTTAGGCTAGTTGCTAGGAATGGAATTAGTACTGACTCAGAGGGTTTATTAGGGGTTCTTAGGACTGTTGAGATATTTTCACGTTATCCTCTCAGAAATATTTATATCCCCATTGTCCGAGAGCCTGGGAACTGGCACCAGGCAAACTGCTCAGCCATTACCTCGCTTACCCAACCTAAACTCCCAGCCTGTTTCAGGAACTGTTTGCCCCGAACTCATAGATCAACTCCTGTCCCATTCTCCTGTCCTAGTCCAGGAACTGTTTGCTCTGGGACAATAGACTCACATTCCAGGGGCCCCCATGCGTAGCCCCTCAGGACCTAACCCTAACAACAAGTTCCCGCTGCCACAGGCGCAGATATAAAAATCACAAACCCCAGCATCGGGCGCGGCTTCTCGGACTCGACCCCCCGAGTCTGTGAACCCGCCCGGAGTGTACCCAATAAAGCCTGATTTCTGCTTATTCGGCTGTTTGGCTCTCTGGTTTCTTCCCACCTCCCACCGGCGGCACCTGGCTACCTTACACCCATCTGTGGAATATGAGCGCATCCTTTTTATTATAGCTTTGATAGGACAGGCTATTATTACTTTTAAAAGCCTTGTCAGTTTGATAGGCAACATCTAAATTTTTTATTTTATAATTCTCTGATAACTACTGTGGTTTTCCATGTTTTGTAAATTTTATTGGCAAGGATATTTTGAGTATTCATTATGTATCTTGTACAAGTCAAGATAGGTCTGTGGGAATTTGTGGATCTCATTGTCTAGTAACTTCTCAAGGAAATGGGAACACTTGTCTCCTGTTCAGTGATGCCATTGTGGTTACTAGTGATCTTCAGGTTCTTTTCTGTGTGGTCTCAGACTTGTTATATTCAATATAGCCCTAAGTTTCTAGAAAGGAATCTCAGGTGCTTCTAGGCTGTGGGATGGGGGTTTTTAGATTGGTGGGGAGACCTGAGGAGGAGGTGGAGTGAGCCAGATTTCAGACAGCCACCTCATTTCTCAGTCTCCAGTGTTTGACCAGTAGCATTTAGCACAGTTGACATTCCCCCTCCTTGATCTCTTCTCTTGGGTCCCAGGACACTACAGTCTCAGGTTTCCTCTTGCCCTTTTGTCTGCTTCTTCTCTACCTCTTTTGCTAGTTCATCTCAGCCTTCTCAGTCTGTAAATGTGGGAGTGCCTCAGAACTCGGTCATTAGACATCTCTCCTCTCTTCATGCTCATTTCCTTGGTGACCTTACCTAGTTTTGATATTTTCGATAGTATGTTTTTGCTCCAGGCCTTTCCCTGAAATCCAGTACTGATATGTATAACTTCCTACTTGGCATTTCCATTTGAATGTCTAGCAGGCATATGAAACCTGACATGGCCAAAACCCAGCTCTGATATTCTACCTGCCATCCCCCAAACCAGCTCATGCTGTAGTCTTCTCCTCCTCAGTCATGGGCAACTCTTTTCTTCCAGTTGCTTGAGCAAACACCGTGGGGTCATTTGGAACTCCCTGCCCCCCCAACATATTTTTCTTTAGCAAATCCTATTAGCTTTACTTTAAAAATGTATCCATACTCCTGCCACTTCTCACTGCCCATTCTTGCCACCCTAGTCCGGGACCCATCATCTCCATTCCGGACTATTGCAGTAGCCCCCTAATGATACCCTTGCTTCTGCCTTCGTGCCCACTTCAGTCTGTTTGGATATGACAGCCATAGTGGGTCTGTTAGAACACATGGATTGTGCCACTTCTCTGTCAAACCCTAATGGCTTTCCTTCTTACAAAGAGTAGAAGCCAAAATCTTTACTATGTCTTATAATCACCCCCTCCCCCCAGCCATTTCCTCTCTGGAGACTTCATTATCCTCTCCCCTCTCCATTTACACTGTTCCAGCCTCTGCCTCCTGCCATTCTTGAGCACACTGGGCAGCCTCCCCCTTGGGGTCTGTGTGCTGGCTGTTCCTTATGCCTGCAATGCTGTTCCCCTAGATGTCCTCACAGCTGACTGCCTTCGGGTTTTTACTACAAAGTCACATTCTCAGTGAGATCTTTATATACTCCTTCCCTGCTTTATGTTATCTCTTATTTTTTCAAGCACTTTTAAGCACTATTTAATATACTATGTATTTTACTTCTACCCCACTGAAATGTAAGCCCTATGGGAGCTAGAAATTTTTTTGTTCTGTTTTATTTATTTATTTATTTTTAATAATCCTCACGGGAGGACGTTTTTGCATTTATCTTCAGATAGAGCAGGAGGGAGAGAGGGAGGAAGAGAGAGAGAGAAACATTGATGCGAGAGAGACACATCGAGTGATTGCCACCCACATGACCCCAGCGGGGGCCGGGGACAAACCGAGGACAAACTGCAACTGAGGTGTGTGCCCTTAGGGGGAACCGAACCTGGGACTCTCTGGTCCTCGGGCCAACACTCTAACCGCTGAGCCAAACTGGCCAGGGCTTGTTCTGTTCTTTTATTATATTTCTAATACGTAGAACAGTGACTGGCACGTAATCTGGGCTCAATAATTGCAACATGAATAAATAAGTGAATTAGGATATTATCTATAACTGTTACCATCTTCTTTTGGATGGTCAGAGGATGAATATTTTTTTCAGTTGTCAATACCAGGAAGAGGTGTGCTTTTTCTGAGCTAAGATTTTGTCGTAGGTACCTATGAATTTTGTAATTTGGGTTTCATCTTTGTTTTGGCTAATAGGGAGTTATAAATGTGCTGCTTTGAATACTAGCATTTTCTATTAATTGACATTTTTTGGTGTGTGTAGTAATCTTATCTGGGTTTATCTTAGTTTTTTTCCTTTATAGTGTTTTAAAAAAAGTTATCTCTTTAATCTGAGTCCTCTATATCCTCTAAGGCACCTCACATCCTATTTCGAATAAGGCAAGGCTATAAATAAAAATTAGCTGATTTTTCCCCCTTCTCTTCCAGGGAAGTACAGTAAACATGAACCTCATGGGATGGCTGTATTCTAAGGTTGAAGCTTCGCTGGGTTCTGCTGGTCACACAACCCTTGGAATCACACTTCTGATTGGTTAGTGAATCCCACTGCCCCACGTTTTGTCTCTTCTGAAAGCATGTCATAGGAAGCATCATGGCAGAGAGGAAAGAACACTGGAATTGGGGTTATAATTTTGCCTGCACAATTCACGAGTTCTATGGCCTCATAAGAAATAACGAGGCATTCATGCTGTTTGTGTTTCCGTTTCCACTTCCTTAGAAGGAGGAGCTTGTCTCTCTTATCTCCTTCAGTGTTGTCCTGAGGATCACATGAGAGAGTGTATGTGAACACTCTGAAAACAGAGTTTGTACATGTAAGGTGTGCATTATTAGTCTCTAGCAGAAGGGAGAATTGTTTCTGTTTGATCAGATTCAGTTCGTATGCTTCTAGAGCTTGATTTTGTGGAGATGATGTGATGTGATGAGAAAGCCACTAAGTTGGGAGCCTGGGTTCTAGTTCAGTTCTAACAGTCCTGTCATTCTGGACCAGAAAGTTATTCTGTGTCTCAGTTTTCTTTTCTGTAAAACTGCGGGTGTTTGACCAAAACTGTACAGATCCTTCCTGGCCCCAAGTTCTCTTAGCTAAGGCTCCACTTCGGGTTGCTGGTGGGTTGTTGAGAAGTGTCTGAGGCCCTGTGGATTCATCACCCATGCTTTTCCTCTGAGCAGCGAATTTGTCTAACTGAGCCCCATGGCGTGTAGGGGCTGCATGCAGAACCCTAGAGAGACCTGTGAGATGGGGTGAATGTTCTGTGCCATCTTTTCTTCCTTAGAATTCCTTAGTACAGCCTGGGAAAAAGAAGAAAGGGGAATGGTAACCCTGAACAGGCAGCTTGTAGGAGACTCCTCCTTCTTCCTCCCCTCCTCAAATCCTTTTCTTACTTAAAACCTCTTTCTTACTCTCAAATGTTCTTCAGGATTCCTTCTAGTTCTCTCTATGATGGAGAGTTTGAGAATTTTAGAGCCAGCAAAGACCTGTGCTATTGTGAATCAGTGTCTCATTTTACAGATGGGGACATTGAAGCCCAGAGAGGTTAAGTTCTATGTCTAAGATCATTCAGCTTGTTAGTGGCAGAACCAGAGCTAATATCTACTGTCTCTCATTTCAGCAGTTTTTCAACTGGACCGTATTATGTCAGCCAATTAAAGGTGCATTTATTTTACTAAGCTTTTTTTTTTTTATCCTCACCTGAGGATATGTTTATTGATTTTAGGGAGAGAGACATCAATCAGTTGCCTCTCCTACCCTATGACTGGGGATTGAACCTGCAACCATTTTGGTGTATGGGATGATGCTCCAACCAACTGAGCCACCTGGCCCAGGCTAGTAAGCTTCTTTTTAAAATTCTCGACAAGTATAAATTTTATTCACTCTTTATCTGATTTACAGTAAAGATATGAGGTCATCATTCGTGAGTGATGCTGAATACTCAAAGGAAGGAGAATCTGAGTGAACTGTGCTGTGGGAAGGTGGAGCCCTTGGGCTGCCCCTCTGGCAAGAGCGATAGTCTTTGGGAAGGAATCAGAAAGAAGATAGGTGATCAAAGAATCAGACTTTGTTTTTATAACTTTTCCCCTGGCATCCATTAAAAATTGGTGCTGAGACTGAATTAAGAGTGTAGCACTTATTTGCAACTGGTCATTGGCTTTCTTCAGTTTGTATTCTGCAGTAGATGACTAGACTAGTTAGTTCTAGTCTTTTCCATCTAATCTCCAAACTTCTACTGGGAAATAATATAGTAATAGCGATGACTGGTTGTTGAGTCCCTACCATATGCTCTTTCCTTCCTTCTGTCCTCACTTAGTAATTGTGGGCTTTTCTTATAAGTGTCTAAATATTATCCCCTTTGGTTGCTATGTTTTCTGCTGTAAATGTGATGTGCTATGTTTTAAGGAACCTTTAGTCTGGCTCTCTTTTAAAAACCTCTTTCTTTAAATTATAGGGGGTATAACCTGTATCCTTTCACTAATTTGTGCCTTGGCCCTTGCTTACTTGGATCAGAGAGCAGAAAGAATTCTTCATAAAGAACAAGGAAGAACAGGTAAGTCTAATTGCAAGAAAAAGTGGGACTTAGGGGAATTATGACCTTTTTGAAATAATGTACAATTATGCAAGTTCCTAATGCAATGTTGTAAACCCAGTGAGGCTTAATACATATTTTTTGATCTTTTATTTCAAATCTGTTTGAGCTTGTCTAAATTTTGGGGTACATTTTCCCACTTCTATGTTCTTTGTATATTTGCAAAATGATGAGTGTTCCCCATTGTTAGGTAGGTAGATACTAATCTTAGATTTTGCTTTTTCTAATGTCTCTTTACGTTATTCCAGAAACTATGTCCCAGTAATTTACTGAGAAAAGTATTTTTTAACAGAATTGCTGAGGTTAATACATGGTAAATGAAAAATAATCTTGACTTAGGTATGCAAAATGATACTGATTCTTCTCTCAGGTGAAGTTATTAAGTTGACTGATGTGAAGGACTTCTCCTTGCCCCTGTGGCTCATATTTGTCATCTGTGTCTGCTATTATGTTGCGGTGTTCCCTTTTATTGGACTTGGGAAGTGAGTATTCTCTAGCATTCCACTTTTGTTGGTTGAATTATAATGAGCGTTCAGTCACATAAATGGAATTGTTTTAGCTGTAAATTTTGCTTCTCTGGTTATAGTTTATATATACACAGTAATTATTTCATACAACTGATTTTCTTAGCTTAATACTTTTTAAAGTTTTTTTGAAGAAATGCCTAATAACAGTTTTTGATTCAAAATATGGTTTATTTTAATGCTTAACTTTAGATTAGTATTTTAAAAAATTACCTCTTTATTCCTTGGTTAGGAAGACTTTTATTGAGAATGAAGATAGCATATTGGTTCATAGTGATTGAACATATTTTTATTTCCTAAGACTAATTCCACCACATTCAAATTCAAGATTCAAATAGAATTTTTTTTTTGCTTTATCTTCTACCTCTCTCTGTTTTCATTGGCAGCTGCTTAAACAGAAGAGTGTGAGTGTGACTGTATTTGCGGGGTGGGGGTGGGGGTTATAACTATAACCTTTAAATTCAGGCTGTCGTTTTAAATAATTTGAGACAAGAGTCCTATGCATTATATAGCAAAGGACCTGTTCAGTACTGCTTTTTAGGAAAAGCTCTCTTAATTCCCTGTAGTAGTACATTTGATTTTCTGAAAATTTGTGTGTACTGTTTGTGGTATATGTAAAAAGGGGAAAAATAGGCATCAGTATATTTTATTTAGTTAGTGAAATTTTTATATAAACACTAAAGCATTAGCCAGTTACTTGAAGATGAATAATATCAAATAAGGTGGGAAAACTGTATCAGAAAGGAAAAGTTGACTAAACTTAGAATTATTTGTATTTAGTTTTATTTTGCCTTTATTACAAAACAACAACAACAGAGTAGTTCTCTCTAAAGTGCTTAATTCTCTCTCTCTTTTTATTTTAGAGTTTTCTTTATAGAGAAATTTGGATTTTCTTCCCAGGCAGCAAGTGCTATTAACAGGTATTTCATTAACTCTGTAAGTGCATGCTGTGTGCCTGGTGTGGGTCTTCCGTTGTAACCAAATGTAAGACATGTGATGTAGCTTCCGCAGGGCGAAACTAAGCTTATACTGGGACCTGATCCTCAGGGGCCGTCTTTACATCAATGGAAAAGTAAAGAATTCTTGGACCACTCTATATATTTCTATTTACTGATAACCGTTTTAGGAGATTCTTAAACTAAATGAGCTAGGGCGTGCTTTGCCTAATGGTTTTAGGGATTTCTTTTTTGGCTATTGTGATATATTTCATTAACTAATCTCTTTTTTATTCTCTGGACAGTGTTGTATATGTCATATCAGCCCCCATGTCCCCAATATTTGGGCTGCTGGTGGATAAAACAGGGAAGAACATCATCTGGGTTCTGTGTGCAGTGGTGACCACTCTTGCTTCCCACATCCTGCTGGCTTTTACACTGTGGAACCCTTGGATTGCTATGGTAACGTCACTGTTAACACCTGTGGGCTAGGGCTTCAGGGAGGACTCTGAGAAGTACATGTCAGGAGCCACACTCAGCTCGTCCAATAGCAGTGCTTTGTGACAGTGGGGAAAACAATGATGATTTCAGTTTCTACAAAATGACTTTTTTTTTTAATCCTCACCCGAGGACTTTTTGTTTATCCTCACCCAAGGACATTTTTCCATTCTTTGTTCAGATAGAGTGTGAGGGAGAGGAAGAGAGAGAGAGAGAGAGAGAGAGAGAAAGAGAAACATCGACGTGGTTGCCACCCATACGACCCCAGCCCGGGAAGGGACAAACTGCAACTGAGGTATGTGCCCCCAGCAGGAACCGAACCCGGGACTCTGGTCCACAGGCCGATGCTCTAACTGCTGAGCCAAATCGGCCAGGGCCAAAATGACTTATTTTTAAGTTATATAAATATTAATTATTAATGCATCAGGTATTTGTAATTTCATTTGGCTTATTTAATAGAGTAACCTCAGTGCCGAAATAGAATTTGAAATAAAGTAGAAATAAATTTTAAAAGCCAAAATGCTTATTAGTTCCTTTTATTTTTCTGTGCTTCATGAAAGTGGCCATTCCATCATAGGTGGCAAAAAAATCTATCGGCCCAGTGTCCATGATTTCACATCCTTTTGTCTTTGACTTTTAGCAGGTCAAAAAGTGATACTGAGTTTATTGAGTTTTTGTTGTTGTTCTTCAGAATTCCATTTTTAAGACCATAGGCTAAATTGCTGTTTTCCTTTCCTGTTAATGAAAGAGTATCTGGAACACATACAGGGGGGGGGGGCAAAAGTAGGTTTGCAGTTGTTCGTATGGAAAATAATACAATAATAAATAATAATACAAGAATAAACACTGTGTTTCGTGGACTCACAACTATATACTTAACTTTTGCCCCATGCTGTGTGCACTACGTGAGAATTCTGTAGGAAAGATTCCTAGCTTTGCACATTTAACTTCTCCTCAGAGCTTTAGCAATAATATAAGAATATATCTTTTTGGTATTCTTGCCATTGCTAGACATTGGCATTATTTTAATTTTTGTCCAAATGATAAGTATAAATTTTATTTTAACTGAAATGGTAAGGTCCTTTTCTAATTGAAGAAAAAGCCAGCAGTGGGGATGTTTAACAAGCAGTGGTGGTTGGTTCTCCGCCCTGCTCTCCAAGTGGGTGTTGATGACTAAGAGGGAAGATAATGGACTGGTGACGTGATGTTACCTTGGTTACTTAATTTGTAATTCCTAATAAATATTGGAAAAATAACTTGGCTAAAACATTGGTAATAAGTTTTTGCCAATTAGCTTTGTTTTCTTTCTTGGTTCTTGACTGTACCCTTTGGCCAGGCATTTATATATACATGTATATAAAGTGGTTAAGACAATGTGCATGTATTTAGTCACTAGAGGGATACTGTCAGGGTAGGCCAGGACTTTTTTTGTATTGAATATGAGTTTTAATCTGATTACAGTAAAAGTTGCCTGCATGTTCATGTATTAGCTATTATGTCCGTCTTGCTAATCTGCATCAAAGGAAAGTCACTTAGGTTATTATAAGACTTTTACCCTTGTCTGTATTGCTTTCTATAGACTCTCCTGGGACTGTCCTATTCATTGCTTGCCTGCGCTTTGTGGCCAATGGTGGCGTTTGTAGTTCCTGAACATCAACTGGGAACTGCGTATGGCTTGTAAGTATTTGCACCGTGGATCATATAATGTCTCTCTTTGCTGTAGTATCAACTTAATTATCATATGAAACTCCAGGTTTCCTGAATCTAGTCTTTAAGCTTCTGGGACAGCTTTGAACCTGGAAATAACTAGAAAAATCAGTTAATCTTTTTTTGAGGTGGTGGCAATGAAAATGCTCCAAGCCTCCAGCAAGACAGCTGGAGTTAACTAACCCGTGAGAGGAAACTGCTTCCATTGTCATCCCTGGTTATCTGAGGGCCTCTCAGTGAGAAGTTGAGTTCTGGCCTCTGACCCAAAAGGCAAAAGGGGGTTGATATTCACTTACCCCTTCATTCAGCAGGAAGGCTTAATAAGGCACGCTCCCTTGCCTTTGAGTATGACACTTAGTAGAGGAAACATGAGGTAAAAAACAAATCTAATCAGGTCATCCCTAGTTGAAAAAGGGGTATGATGTATCGATACTAATATTTGTAGTGAATAGGTACTCTGTGTGAAGACTTGAAATTGAAATGTCTTTTTATATTTCTTAAAATGTAGCATGCAGTCCATTCAGAATCTTGGGTTGGCGATCGTTTCCATCCTTGCTGGCATGATATTGGATACTCGGGGATATTTGTTTCTAGAACTTTTCTTCATTGCCTGTGTGTCTTGTAAGTGGCCATGTGGCAACATTTATTTAGTTTCTTTTAATATGTAGCAGAATGTTCTTACTTAGCTTTTAGGTTTTATTGTTATTCTGTTTTCCCTTCCTTTTTTTTATTCCTCACCTGAGGATATTTTTTTATTTATCTTTAGATAGAGTGGGAGGGAGGGAGAGAGAAAGAGAGAGAGAGGGACAGAGAGAAACATTGATGTGATAGAGCCACATCAGCTGGTTGCCTCCTGCATGAACCGACCAGGCTGAGGACAAAATGCAACCAAGATACGTGCCCTTGACCAGAATCGAAACCATGACTCACTGGTCCACAGGCTGACGCTCCAACTGCTGAGCCAAACCGGCCAGGATATTTTCCCTTCTTTTAAACCAAATATCTAAGATTTATCTCTCAGATTTGCCTAATTCTTAGCCTGTGCCATCAGAACTTCCTAGTGGGTGACTTTGTAGTGCTTAGAAGATTCACAGGCATTTTTCGGGCAATTCTTATTCTCAAAGGCAGCAATGGAATATGCTTTATTTATTTATTTTTTATTATTTTTGTTATCCTCACCCAAGGACATTTTTTTGTTTTTTGTTCAGATAGAGTGGGAGGGGGAGAGAGGAAGAGACAGAGAGAGAAACATCAACGTGAAAAGGACACATCGAGTGGCTGCCACCCACATGACCCAACCAGGGCCGGGACAAACCACAACCGAGGTACACGCCCTTAGCGGGAACTGAACCCAGGTCTCCAGACCGCAGGCCAACGCTCTAACCGCTGAGCCAAACCGGCCAGGGCGGAATATGCTTTATATTCTGTTTTAAATATTTATGGTTTAAAATTTTTTTTCCCTTTTGAAATTGGAACCATTTGAAGGGTCATAAGTATGTCCCTGGTGTGAATGTGTGGATATATGTGTGATTTAGGTATGCTCATAGTTAATTCATTAGATAGTTTAAATTGCTTTTAGTCTTAGTCCTTTTGTTTAATTTTTACCTGTAATGATTCATTGGTTAAAAAATAGGAAGTGTTAGGAAACTGCTGAAAACTATAAAAATAAGTCAGCATTTTTCCATTTATAGTCTTCACCATACACATAAATTGTGTTCATCTGAAAAAAATTTTCATATAACATATTAAGATGCCTTTTATACTTTGATAACATGTATTTAAATGACAAACCCCAGTGATGATATTGTCAGACTTCATATTCATTTACCGAGAATAATGACTATCTGTACTTGGAGTATGGTGTTTGTAGATAACTGTTTATGTATAGCCTGGATATGTTTTATTACCTCATAATTTTAGAAATAAACACATCAACTTATAAAACATTATTTGTTTTTAAAAAGTGATACCTTTGAGAATTTAAAAAACTGGGTCATGAAAGTATTTTTGTCTGTTTCTGATTCTGCAACATATGGTTTAATTTCAAGCTACAGTTTCATATATATTTGGCTCCCAAACCAAATAACATGTTATTTAAAAATGTTTTTGTTGCCCTGGCTGGTTTGGCTCATCGGTTAGTGTGTTGGCCCACAGACCGGAGAATCGCAGGTTCGATTCCAGCCAAGGGCACGTACCTTGGTTTCGGTCGTCCCCGGCCCTGGTCAGGGTTGTGGGGAGGCAACCAATTGATGTCTCTCTCTCACATCGATGTTTCTCTCTCTCTCTCTTTCACTCTATTTGAAAATAAATGGAAAAATATCCTTGGGTGAGGATTTAAAAATATGTTTTTGTTGCCATGTTAATTTTAATTTTAAGTAAATTAAGTGGGCCTCACTTGGCTTTCTGAGGTTTTCACTGGCTCTGGGCTTCTAGGAGTCTGGTGACCACATCCTAATGTTTGGTTAATTTTAAAATGGACATGGTGTTTTCAGACCTAAAACACCCTCCTGAGGATTACTTCTGTTTGGCTCTCTGTAAAAAATATAAACAGTCTAGGAGCTGGCAGAAGGTTTTGGGAAGTGCCAGGAAGGAACAGCATTTACAAAGTCAGAGGACAGAACAGCAGGATGACCCATGGGTGGGTCGGCTCCCTCCTATGGGTGTCTCAGCTCCTCTGTTTTTGGTTTTGCCATCCCTGGGCTCATGTAGCCCATGGAGAAGATGGTGTATAACTTATTTTTAAAAAATAATGTAAATAGTGTTTTTATTTTTAAGTGCCAGTTAATAAAGATTTATTTGATTTGTGAAGTTTTACTTTGTAGTTATGATCACTTAGGACTCATCGGGAAGAAGTGCATGTCTTTCAAGGGTCCTGTGTTTTTTCACTTCCAGTGTCACTTTTAGCTGTGGTCTTACTGTATTTGGTGAATCGTGCCCAAGGTAAGTAGTTCTTACCTGCTTTCTTCCGAAACCACGATGGATGATCTTGTGGGGACACTAGATTGTCCACATACCTTTTTAGAGGCCAGTGAGTGCTTTAGCTCAAGCAATAATGACATTCTGTTCACATTAAAATTGTTGTCATGTTCTTTCTGGCCAGTTCAATGTAAGTTCCTAAAACTTTAGATGTTTTTATATTAGCATAAAGAAGCATTTTTAGAACCTAAAGCCCTTCCTGTGTTACTCTTATATTTAAAAAAGATAAGTAAACACATTTATAGCTGAAGTTTTCATTTTTTAAGGTTGAAAGTGTTTGGTATAGAATGAGAAACTGCAGCATTTTTTCTTTTGCGAATATACATGTACTACCTGCATTTGTGCTTTTTTTCTTTGTTCTTTATAAGATTTTGATGTTACCTTTATTAATTTTTCTAATTGGCTTACCCTTAAAGGTTGTTATATATTTAGAAGAATGTATACACATACTGTTTAAATAATTTCAAGTCATTTCCTTTAATTTTTTAAAAATTTCAGTATTACTGAATATTAACAGTGTCCCAATTAAGAAAACTTGAGGCATTATATAAGTCCAAACTTTAAAGGAAATGTGAAAATTAAGGAGTGATTTAAGAATTCTTAAAAAGACATTTCTTTCCCCTTAGGACGGTTCCAGGAGAGAAATTATTTCTTTCTCATCTTCCATAGCCTGTTCTGTTAATTTAAGGTGTATGAGTGCAAGAATGTGTGTGTGTGTGCGCGCGCACGCACGCACCTATGTGCCTGTGCTTTCCTGCATATTTGACTTTTACTTATAATAGTTACATTGAAAATATTCTATGCTTATTTGTGTTTTAGGTGGGAACCTAAATTATTCTGCAAGACAAAGGGAAGAAATGAAACTTTCCCATTCTGAGTAAGTATTGAAAAAGAGAAAAGTTGTCTTTATTTTGCAAATCTTGAATATTAGCATTTTATTTCAAGGTATTAGGATTGGATTTTTAAGAAATTAAGTCTTTCATTTGGAGAACTAATAATTATCTCTGGAACTACTCTAACACAGTTCTTGTTTGTGTCTGAGAATTTTTAAAAGGTGGATATCAAGGGCTAAAATGAAGGGAGAAAAAAGAATTTGGTTTCCAGTTGCCTTCTGAGAGACAGATATGTAGTATTTATAATTTATTGGAGCAAAGGTGTTTGTCCTCAATTTCTCTGTTGGGCTCACCCTTCATTCTCTGATATTTTCTTTTTCTTAACTAGTTGTGATGGTTTTTTTTTTATCTTTTCTTGGTACTAATATGCTGTTCTTTGTTCTCTGATTCATTTGGAATAGATTAAAGAATATAGTGTGGTTTAAGTTAAATTAATCTGTTCTGTGAGTATGTACTACAACATAATAGTGATTCTATTTCCTGTTATTTCTAATTTTTTGACATTGAATATTTTTTTACTTTGAAAATTTAGTTTTAAATATATATCATGTAATTGTAAGTTTTGTGAATTTTGAATGGTTAAAATGTGGTAGAACAAGGCTGGTTTCTCTGGGCTCTTTCTTGGCCATCTCCTCCCCTTAGAGTAATTTTATTTCTAGAAATACATTTTAAGAAAATAATCAAAAGTGTTACAAGTCTTAAGTATCTATGACAGTCTTGTTTATTATGTCAAAACATTGGAAATATCCCAGATGTCTGAAAGTAGGGAAATGGTTAAATATATTATGATACATCCATATAGTATGTTTTAAAGTCATGTTTTAGAAGGATTTTTAAAGTCAGAAATACTTAACATACTATATGTTATGTAAGGAAAAAATAAAAATGCAAAAATAATACCTTAATTTTATTTTTTAAGTATGCAGGCACATGTATTTCTTAAACCTCTTATTTGTATATAACAGAAAAAATACAAAAAGAGAAAAAATGAAAAGCCTCCAAATAGTAATAGTTCTATTTGAATTGTAGAGTTATAAGAATTAATTTTTTTCTTTGCTTTTTAATATTTTCTAAATTGGTCCCATGTTACTTTTAAGATCAAGAGGAGTTAAAAGAGTACCCAACCCTGGCCGGTTTGGCTCAGTGGTTGGAGCATTGGCCTGTGGACCAGAGAGCCCGCAAAGGGCAGAACCAAAAACAAACAAACAAACAAACAAATAAAAGACTACCCAGCAAAATGTGGACTTTTGATATTTGGCACTGTGTGTTTTGGAATGCTTATGGTTTTCATTTTGTAAATCAGATGGGGCTTTGTGTTTTTTCCTCCCCCTTTTGATAATGTATTGCATTATGTTTTGCAGATGAGAAGTTTAAATGACTGTGTCATGAGAATGGGCTGCACACATCATTGATCTGAAACCTCCATTTAAAAAAATTTTTTTTCTATATAGTTTAGTCATTAGGAAAAATAATGGTCTGGAAAGTTATATTTATATTTCAGGTACACCTGTTTTAAAGTATATTTGTGAAGACTGTTTACCCTTTGTCTTTGTGTGTTGCTGTCGAATTTTACTTCAGACTAGGCTAATCAGCAATGAAGTTTAGAAAATTGTGCTGGAACATTCAGGTGAATTTTAGTAGGGACCATGAATAATGGAAACCATTGGATCTTGTATTGAGATCATTTTCATAGAGTATATCATGGGGATATGGCTTTTTTTTTTTTTTAAAGAAAGAAAATATTTTTTTAAAGCTTTTGAGGAGGTAAAAGGGATGTTTTATATAGAATAAACTATGGCGTCTAGGCGCTTCCTTTTGTAACGGGGACTATTTGAAAGGCTCTTATGAAGTCTCTCATTTTCACAAATAGCAAATTGTGTTCTCTTTTCAGTTATGAGAGGTTGCTGAGTGGTGACCCTTTTGAGCTTCTTTATCTCTTCATCACTGAGCACTTTTATTACTTAAGGACATTCTTTTGTGGTAAAAACTCTCTGTACACTTTTTATAGTCTAATTACTTAAAATGTCCTTTAAATGATAATTGCATACCTACCTGGATAAATAAAAACACTGTACAAGGAATACATGATGTCTTCTATGTTTTGATTTTTTAAAAACAAATCTGAAAATGCTGATTTTAACTCTTACGTATGTGAAAGATTATAAGGAAATCTGTGTTGGAATAAAGAAAATTTGCTTAATTATGGTCATTGAAGGATTATGGGGATTAGCTTTTTCTCCAGAGCAGGATCTTAAAGTGACATTTATGTTTTTCACATTCAATAAAATGTGGATATAAAATTTCTCTGACAGACTTAAACACTTATCTAATTGACTTAGTCTTAGCATATTAAAGTCAAATAATTTTTCATGTATCTCGCTGTCTATGGGCACACAGATATTTTGGACAACTATTTAATGAATTTAGCTGATTATATTGTTTATAGTACATGGCATAACACTGTATGCTTAAAGTTTCTGGAACAAATTGAACATGCATTCTTTCTCAGGGTACGTTTTCTCACGACCATTTTTCTGATTTACAGTATATTGTGTCCTTACTCAGTTGATAGTGCTTTGGGCTTTGACTGCCATGCCCCTCAAAAGTGAGTGAGTGTGGGCCTCCCCTGCTGGGGAGAATGCAGGACGGGGCTGCTGCCACCAGAGGGCGGCGGAGGGCGGTGTGGCCTGGCTCCCTCCCAGGGTCTGTCCACCACCTCTAGGCGCCAGTGCAGGGAGCTACGCACATTTTTTCAAATGAGTCAGATTCCATTCTTCTCAGGGGCTTTGTCCACACTCCTTTAGCTTAGAATATTTTGTTCAGAATTCTCTGTGACCTGGTTTCACTTGATTTCCAACAGGAAATTTAACCTCAGCTCAGAAGCATTCTTCCTGTGGGAACTAATTCCTGTGATCTCAGAAAACCCTGAACTTTTCCTTGCTGACTCAGCCTCTAATGAAGAACTTGTGGCGGTGTGGGTTCTCTCTCTTCCCCCTGAGTGGAAGCTCCCTGGCAAGAGCTGTGTCTGTTGTATAAACTGATTGTGTCGATAGTGCTAGCACAAAATAAATACTTTTTGAAAGATGCATAAATAAAAAGGAGAGTAACTTGCAGTAACGTTTTTGAAGCATAAATTGGCAGTGTGAAGAAGAAGACCTAGAAGGGGGATAGTGGTGGGCTGCATGGCTTGGCCTAGCGATTCTCTTTCTAATAGTTTATCCTAAGGAAACCATCAGACAGACAGACACGTAAATCTATTTTAAGAAAGTACCTTAGATGAGTGGATAAAAAGGCTGTGGTACATTTACACAGTGGAATACTACTCTGCTGTAAAAAGGAAGAACATTTTACCCTTTGTGACAGCATGGATGGGCCTGGAGAACAATGCTAAATGAAATAAGCCAGTCAGAGAAAGACAAGTACCATATGATTTCACTCATATATGGAATTTAATGAGCACACTGAACCATCAAGCAAAATAGAGACAGACTTACAGATAGAGAGCAGGCAGACAGCTCTGGGGAGGGGGTTGTGGAGGGGTGGAGGGATTGAGCAAAAAATGAAAAAAACTCATGGACATGGACAAGAGTGTGTTAATTGGGGGTGGGGTGGGGGCTGGGGTGGAGGTGGTAAAGGGCATAGAAGGGATAAAAGGTGATGGGGGAAAAGAAGTACCTTCTTTGCATGATTGCATATGATAGCCTAAAATAGGAAACCACCCTTGTTTATATAGGAGATTAGTTAAGTATATTATATGTGCCGAAAATGAAATACGAATCAGTTGTTAAATGGTTTCGTTAGAGAGCGTACTGACTTAGGGAATGGTGGATTATTCTGCGGAAGATTCGGTGCTGCTCTTCTGTGAAAGCAAACGTCTGAAAGATAGGTGCATTAATGTCTGAGTGTGAAGAAAGCGGTATTAGTGTTCGGAAGGGGAGAAGGGAGCAGGTAGTGTTTTCCAGAGAACCTAGAGGATGCAGGTGGGACATAAACTGGGCCCTGAGTTAGGGAATTTGCATCGACAGGAAGACAATCACACGTGATGGGAACTGTAGGAGACAAGCAATAGAGAATGGGCTATGGGCTAAAGGAAATAATGCACTTACATTTTTATCCCGGTGGTTGTGAGGAACAGCTTTAGGTTGTCTACAAGCTGCCCATACTTTCTGGAGTGCCTCCACCTCAGCCACAAACCCCTTGGCTTCTTCCCTTTGCATGTTCTTGGAGTGCCCCCCTGGGGCCAGGGGTGAGGGTGTCAGTAAGCTCTGAGCAGGCATTTGCTGCTTAGAAGTTGGTGGGGAAAACTTGGATGTTTTGTAAGAAATACTGAAAAGTCCTGGACTTAACTTCATGCAGGTAGGCCAGACAGCCACCTGATGCCACACTGATTACCACTGTTCCCCCGAGATGTTTGTGTATGTGGTCATGCACTCTAGTGATGTGTCGTCGCCTTGGTAGATCTTTATTAGTCTTACGTCATGGCAGCTCTTCTGCCTAACTTACAGTGTTCCCTAAACTGGCTTTCCCTCCATAGGCTGGACTGCACATCAGTTGTGTAATGGAAATCAGTGGACCTGAGGCATTCCTTTTGCAATTAGCATGAATTCTGTAGGAACGCCTCTTTTTGGAATGGATCACCTCTTATGCTTGTTGACTGTTTTACTAGGTGGTAGCTCTCTGTGCTTCTATTTCCTGATTAGCAAATAGAATATCACTCTTAGCACTCACATTCTTAATTTATAAGACATACAGCTATGGTTACTTACCTGTGTTAGATGTATATTCATCGATGCATGACCTAAAACACTCTAGAGAACTACGTGTTCATTACTTGCATTTAGCGGATAAATTGATGGGTTGGAACACCATGGACTTTCCTAGGACTGTGTTCAGATTCCTTTGGGCACTCTGGCAAGTAAGCGAAACAGCCGAAAGTGTGGGCTGGTGACACTTCCAAGCTTCTTGCAAAGTTTATCCCGTTGCCCCCCCCCCCCCCCCCCCGCCAATATTAAGGCTTGCTCAGTTTTCCAAGGAAAATCTGATGATGTTGGAGTTCTGTGTCTTACCACATTTGGGTAGTTTTAATCTTTCAAAACAGGCCCTGTCTGTCCTGGGGAAGAGGTAAATAGGTGTGAGGACAAAAGGCAGATCTCGTCCCCGTCCCCAGCCCAGCAGGTTTCAGAGTGTACAGTGGACAAGAGAGGAGAGAGGCTGGATTTGTTTTCCAGCAGTTGGACTTTAAAATGCTTTTCTAACCTGATGACAAAGTGCATCCAGTTCTTATGATTATTTTACTTAAATTAATATGCTCTTTCATAGACTACAATGTTTCACCTTTGAACATCTCTGAAATTGGGGTATATCTTGTCTTTGACATCATCTTCCAATCCAAAGAAATGTTGGTGTGGGGACAACCAAGCACGAAGCTATGCTCATGCTGGACAATGTAAGATAAGCAGATTTCTGTGTTATCACTCATTTCTGGTGTCACTGGACCCAAGGCTCTTTCGTAGAGGTGATTCAGAGACGTGGACAGTGAGGGCCACCGTCCTGAGTCTCATCGCTGGCGGGGGGAAGTGGACAGAGGGCCGGTGGCTCTGACTGTGATGCAGCCTGATGAGCACTGTCACAGAGCAGCAGCCACTGGTGTTCAGGGACGGTGTCCGGGCTGCACCGTAGAGGACGATTCACCTAAGCAGAGAAGGCACGGGTGGGAGGAAAAGAGGTTCCAGAGCCAACCCGAGAGCCTGCTGGTCCCTGAAGGTGGAGTGAAGGGCGCAGGGAGAGTTTAGGTCGACAGCTTGCACATGCGGCCCATCGCTGAGGGCCTTTCAGTCCTGTTCATGTTGCTCTTAACCTCGAAGGCAGATGGGAACTTTCAGAAGGTTTGCATGTTGGGGACTTAGACAGGGTTTACGTTGAGGAAGATGACTGGAAGAAGAAGGAAGGGAATGCACGGGAGGCTGAGGGGAACACGTGAGGAGTCAGGAGAATGACTAGCAGGTTGGGGCAGCGAAGCCCACGAGGGATGAAGGGAGCGTGACCCAGGGCAGTGCAGCCACGAGGAAAGGAGAGAACAAGTTTGCGTGAAGCTTGGGAGGTTGAACTGACAGTGTGATCACGACTGTGACTCGGGGAGGTGCTGGAATTAAGGATGACCCCTGGATGTCTGGGAGCTTGCAGTGCCCTTGGGTCCGTGTTATGGACGGAAGCCTAGGTTTGAAGTAGGAGAGGGTTTCCGGGCCGTCAGTGAGGCCGCCGGTGAGTCAGTGGGATCGCACAGGAGAGCGTGGGAGTGAGTGCCCTGGGGTTTGCCCACCACTCGTACAGTGGGAGCAGGACGAGGTGCAGAGGGGGAGGGTGCATTCTGTGGACGCAAAGGGGGGTTTAAGAAGGGAGTGGGCGACTGGCAAGTGCTCTGAAAGCTGGAGCAGGACAGGGTCTCGTGTCCCGTTTGTAACCGGCGAGTCATTAGTGCTCTGTAGAGAGCAGTGCAGTGGGGTGGGCGGCACTGGCCTGTAATGATGTGGAGAATAAGTTCAAGGTAGAAATTGCAGCAAAAAACATGTAGCATACCCTTGTAAGAAACTAGGCCATACAAGAGGAGAGAACATAAGGAGTCTTGAGTGGCCGTTTCTTTGAGTGTTGGGTTAATGCTTTATAAAGGTCTTGTTGCCGATGTGTTTTTCTATTTGGGGAGTGGAACATTCTCAGACTCTGTGATGCGTTCATTTTCTTGGAGTGGCACTTTTTGCTTTTTGTTCATGATTTAACCACTATAAAAATGCCCAGTTATAGCTTGCTGCAAGAACATGAGTTCCTCTTATCATGGAATTCTTCTTGAGGCCATTACCTTTGAAGTTGTTTGATACAGTAAAAAAAAAAAAAAAAGACCCTCAACAAAACATTGAGAAATGGAAATACTAAAGAGATTTGGCTTGTTTATAAGAAAGTAAAAGATAATGGGAATATATCACTTTATAAGCTTAGGTTATGCTTAATTGCAAATGACTTTGTGAAGAATGCCCCCTCTTTATTGTCTTTGAAATGTGGTCTAAAAAGAGAATGTTAGTAGGTATTGTGTGTCCTGGAATTGCAATGAATTGGAGTTGGTGTTAAAACAAATCAATCCCAAACAATGTGTGATTTAGTTTTATAGGCACACATTTATAAATTGGGTTTAGGTAGTAATTCCAGAAAAGCACACACAGGAGAACTGTTTGCTGTGTATTCATTTGTTCCACAAAGATTTAGTGAGCACCCATATGTTCAAGCCTCTGCTCGCTCCTGTAGGAGGGGAGAGAAGGGCCTAAATAATGCTGCTATACCTGGCGGAGGGAAGATGTGCCTTCAGAGGGATGGACGATGGGTCGGAGAAGGAATAGGGCCTTCTGATGGGTGATCAGGGGAGGCTTCTTAGAAGAGGTGGCATTTAAGTTATTTGCTGAGAGACAACTATTCATTCTTTTTCGGCTGGTCTGTTCGTGCGACACTCTTGACTACTCTCTTGAACCTGCTCCCTCATTTGATTTTCCAGTGTTCTGTTGTCTGCCTCCACCTCCTATCTTCGTGTTCCCTGTCAGAAGGTTCTACGATTCCTGTATCTCCTAGGTCCTCTATTCTTGGTTTGTTCTTCTTCCTCAGATATGGTTTACGCCTGCAGCTCTGAATGTTCAGCTGGACAGATAACTCTTCTAAGTCCAGAGCTTGGGTCTGAGCTGTCCCTGGTCCTCGGGCCTACATTTCCACTTGTCTCCCTAGCAGCTCACATTGAGCTTGTCTGAGTCTGACTGTCCCCACAATGCACAGCCTCACCCCCCACTTCTCTGCCTCCCGTTGTTCCGTTCTTCCCAGTGACTATGGAGCACCCACTATGTGCTTGTTTTCTTTTGGCTCCTCAGGCTAGACTCTCAGTTACTTTTGTCTCCCTTACCACTTGTGTCCAAATAATTGTTTTATTTTTCCCCGTTCTTTCCATTTAAAAATCTCTTCAGTTCTACTCATGCCCATTATCTGTATGTTTGGGTCGTGGCAATGGGCTTCTAAATGTTGATCACCTTCTTCCTGCATCATCAGCATCACCATTGCTTACTGAGTGTCTGTGCTCAGAATGTTGCTAGGATGCCTATAGATGGCAGCATTGAATCGTGGGGGAGACCAAACAGACCGAAGTGATCCAGGAGCCAGCAGCAGCTCCGAGGGGACCAGCCCAGTGGGTCAAGGTGGTGAGGAGCAGTGCGGAGTGGGATTGCAGGTAGCTGGAGGAAGTAGACTCCGTGCTCTGGGAAGATGAGTACTTAGGCATTTGTTGAAACTGTTATGGGGGGGTGGGTGTTGAGTGTTTCCCTGTGCCTTGAGGAGTGGTTCTTTCCCTGGCTTTGGGGCACCCACCCTTCCAGCGTCATCTCCACCTCCTCTCCCTCACTGGCTCTCACAAAAATTGTTCGTTTTCTCCACTGCTTGGGGAATTCTAATAATTGAAGTTTCTTGCAGCACCCAACAGACTCGTCATACCTTTCTTGGCTCTCAGCCAAAAGTGCGCTCACCACCTTCCCCCAACCTTCCCTAATACTTACTGTCTGTGTTGTTCATTCGGACTAATCAGTAACTGCCACGGTTTCTTCTGGAGCTGCTGAAGTTGTTAATCAGTGTGCACGTGTTGTTTGTTTTTGTTTTTCTCTCCTCTAGTCTCCTTAAGGGCTGGCAGCGTGCTTGGGGTTTTTTAGGTGGCAATAGCCATTATATGTGCATCCTGTACTGCTCCCCGTTCATGGTATTTTGAACTTGATAATATTCCCTGACCTTTGGTTTTATTTTAACTTGCCAAACAACCAGGCTGATTATTCAGGGTGCTTGGGACTCGGAGCGGGTAACACACTTGGGGATCCCAGCTCTCACCAGGGTGGTAGGCATTGCATGGGCAGATTCGGGAAGAATGTGTGTTTCTTCTGGTCTCCTTGTCCCCTTCTATGGATGGGTTTCTGACAATCACAGGAGAGACAGACATATTTTCACCTCCTCCTACCAAGGGGCCCTGTCCCCAAAGGGAATAGTCTAGCTTGTTTCTCGTGTCTTGAGATAACTGTCCCTGGAAACCAGGATACAGTGTCAACTAAGTTAAAACTTTGTGATCCCAACTATCCAGAAATACGTTAGAAATGGATGCTTACGCTTTGCTGTTAAGGAGGTCAAAAGACTGCAGAAACAAAATTAGCGTTGCGTGGATCAGAGAATTAATTGCAGGCATAGGTTAGCAGACTGCAGCCTGGGACCGGTGGTGGGTGTGAAGCAGGCTTTGGAGGTAAAGGTGATGCGTCCGAGGGTCCCAGGTGCGTTTCCTCCACCTCCGGGGAGGCCGCTGTGGGCGTTAGAGGGCCTGGCGGTGAGGTGTGGGTGGCTTTAAGCTTTTCGGGGGGAGCCTAGTGCACAAGTTGCCCAGTGATGTAAAACTGTATTAATTTATAAGGGGTGACATAATTGGGACTCCAGGGTGGCTGAATCTTCCCTGTGTGTGATGCAGCGACAGCGACAGAAATTAATAAGATAAGCCACAGAGCTAAGAGAATGTTCAAAAGAGCAAACAGGTTTCCGCTCTCGGTACTGTAGCCGTGCACATGTACGAGGAAACAGCTGACCTGCTAATTAGGAAACAGCCTTCCCTATTCATTAAGCTAATTATCCTAAAGAAATCTGCTGGCAACACTTGGTCTAGTCTAATTACTGTGTGCCCTGGAAAGCAGTAAACTTCACTTTTAGAATAAAATTTTGTAATTTAGACATACGTATGGTTTACTCAGACATTTTCTGTAATTAGAGGGGGTTAGTAATGAGGGGTTACACTTTGGTGTTTATGAAAAAGGTTTATCCACCTCTTTATAGAGAGATGATAATGAATTCTTAAATAATGTATGTTTAGATCTGAGAACTCTTTGGAGATCATTCTTCTTTAAATATGAGGTCTTTTTAAGGTTATCTTTTTGGATTACGTTGGATCTTAGATAATTTTTTTAGAGAATGAACGTCATATTGTGAGTTAAGACAGTGGTAAACTTTCCTGTCATAAAGTGCTGGGAGACATCGTGTCAAGCGCAAGCCGCCATCCAGAGCCACTTCGCCCTGTGTCCCCCACTTTCCCAGCAGGGCTGCGTCTGACCTTTCCCGGAACACCCGTTAACAAGTGTAGTGAAAGAGCTCATGCACCCAGCGGTCTGCAGGTAACAGTAACCATGTAAAAAAGTGAGCTGACCTAAAACGAGCTGATTCTTCGAGGGCTGGAGCGTGACCAGCCTTTGGATGGGGCCACACGCTTCAGTCTTAGGAGCGTGTACTTGACAGGCCAGTCCCTGGGTCCGGAGGCTCCGTGTGGCGCTGTGACCTGGGCCTTCTCCGGCGGGGTGATCTCGGACAAGTGACTGAATGCTCTCTGCTTTGGTCCCCTTGTTTGTCAATGGGGCTAACAAGAGCTGCTCTTTATTAAGTGAGTTACTCCATGTAGCGCTCTTACATAGCAATTCACAGTAATCACATAGCACTTGACTCACCCATCCACTTCCTTCACTTGCTCGTTCTACCCCTTCTGCTGTGCTGCCCGTGCTGCGGGCCCCCTGCGGAGCCTGGCGTGAGAGGTGCGGCCGGCAGAGGGCAAGGTCTGTCTCATGGGAGCCTGTTGTCCAGGGGCAGAGACAGATGCTGAACAGGTAAACGAACTAACGAGCCCAGGTACTAATCAGTGTTAGAGAGACAGTGGGTAGGATAATATGGTGGCTGGGGTATGTGGAGGGATCTCGACATGAGCTGCGGTGGGCATCTGAGGAGGTGACATTCGAGCTGAGGCGCCTGGGTGATGGGACAGATGTCAGCTCTCCTTGAAATGAAGTTATCCTTTGTGTTGGCGGCGCTCCCTATATTCTTATTTTAAAAGCTGTCAGCATCAATGTAGTCCTTCCCTGCACTCTAGTCCCTCTGCCACCAGCTCAAGGCTGTATTCAGACCACTGTCACCATCTTGGAGCTCGTTTCCCCGAACTTCATCTTGACAGCACCCAGATGTGCCCACCCCTGGGCCTCTCTCCCCGGGCTCCAGCTGGGCGCTCACCCCCCTTGTCAGGCCTCAGTTTTGGGAAGAGCCTGACTCTGTTGTTCCCAGCCGACAGGAAGTACAGGACTGGGTTGAGGCAGCTGCTCACGCTCACCAGAGGCCTCCATACCTTGTAGGCCACGCTGGCCGCCATCAGGAGCTGGCAGTCGGGCGACGCGAGGAAGCGGAGTGTGAGGTAGACGGAGCGTGTGACGTGGAAGGGCACGAAGCAGAGGGCGAAGAGGCTGCACACCAGCCCGATGGTCCGGATGGACTTGGCCCGGGCCGCGTGGCCCGTCCTCGCGAGGCTCTCCTCTGGCCTGGCCAGGCTCCTCACCATCAGCGAGTAGCACACCAAGATCACCAAGGAGGGCAAGACAAAGCCAGACAGCGTCAGAACCACACCGTAGGCAAAAAACTGGGGGAAGTCCTCCGGACTGGTCATGTCGTAGCAGACCACCTGGCCGTCGATGTAGTCCGTGTGGGAGAAGCCCAGCGTGGGCAGCAGCTGCAGGACCACCAGGGCCCAGGTGGCAGCTGCTCCCAGCAGGGCGTGCCGGCGGGTCCGGTAGGGCAGTGAACTCAGAGGGTGGCACACGCCCAGGAAGCGGTGCACGGAGATGCAGGTCAGCAGCAGGATGCTGCCGTACAGGTTGGTGTAGAACAGGAAGCGCACCAGCCTGCAGAGCAGTTCCCCAAAGGGCCACCTGTCGTCCAGGGCGTAGGTGATGATGAGGAAGGGCAGCGTCAGCACATAGAACAGATCAGCCACCGTCAGGTTCACCAGATAGATGGTGGCACAGCTCCAGCGCTTGGTTTGGCGCCAGGAGAGCCACAAGACAATGCCATTCAGGGGCAGCCCCAGCACGAAGATGACACTGTAGGTCAGGGGGAGGTAGATCTGCTTGTAGTCCTCGGAGAGCTGGCAGAGCCCTCGCTCCTTTGAGGTGTTAGTGTCCAGCTTCTCCATCTCCTGGGAGGCTCCCCCTGGGAGCACAGCGGCTCCTGCTGCTTCCGCTGGGAGGACACAGAACGGACAGCAGAGCATCATGACCTCAGCTGGGTCTCAGCCTCTGCCTGCGTCTGGCAGTCAGCTCTGTATGACACGTGTGGTTCAACTCTCTCCAAAGTCTGGTCAGAGGCCTTGTTTGAGAGAGACCACCTGAAGGAAAACAAGAATTAAACTCAAGGGCAAAGCAGTCTTCAACACGAGGGCGTCTCGACTTACCGGCTCCAGAGGGCTGGCCCACACTCACCTGTACGCTTCCCGCTCCAGGCTGGGCTGTGCAGGAAGCTCAAGTACACAGGGTGGCCCGTGGGTGCTGCTGTCGTCTCAGCGGCACACAGCCCCCAGCGATGACCCCTCCGCTGCCAGAATCCTTTGCATAGAATCAGGAAGTGGCCAAGGGGAGAGATTCCAGGCCCGCGTTCTCGGGCGATACTGCCCACGATCTGGCCCTAACCCCACTTACCATGGTGGAAGAGAAAGTGATCCTTCGGGGTTAGGAGGATTAGGGAAAGCACAGGTTTTGCCTACAGGCTCTGCTGGAGGATTTTCATTTGTATCTCTTTCAGGATTTATTAACTGTGTATTTGAATACTGAGGCTGATTTGCCTATTAACCATCTCAGCACCCCGAAGAGCCAAGAAAACAAATTTGAGCCATGAAGCCAGGTGCAGCTCCTTCCTTATCCCCGTCCCTGCTGGCAGAGCTGCAGTGGTACCCCCACAGGGCTGGGGGAGCTGTGGCTCAGTCAGCCGATCAGCATGGAGTCCAGAGGGATAGAAAGATGTTCATCTCTAGGGCTTGGCATTCAGAAAGAGTTAATACACAGCAAGAGAGAAAATTTAAGACAGGTAATTTGCAGATACATTGAATGTTGATAGTAAACTTACAATATGTAGAACTTCATTCAACAACAAAAAGGAACAGAGTCCTCATTCACTCAGTCAGTCAACAAACTTATTGAACATCTAGTGAGTCAGGCTCCGGGACTGCAAGGGTCAATAAGACAGCCCTCGCTCCAGGATCTCACAGTCTGGCGGGAAGACGGGAGCTGATACAGCTGATGGTGGTACAATGAGGAAGGTGGTCACACTGCTGTGAAAACCAGCAGGATGCAGTGGTCCTCCTGGAGGGGCGGAGTGAAGGCTTCCTGGACCAGGTGCCATTTGGCTGCTTGGGAGAACAAAGCGGGGCTTGGGAGGCAGAGAAGGCTGAGGGGCATTCCTGGTGGGGCAGCCCATGCAGGGAGCTGGAGGGGAAGGCTCAGGGTGTCCTGGGGGGGCAGGAGAGCGGCGTGGGGGTGAAAACCAAGGATGCCACCACAGGGAGGGTGGATATCCTTCAGCAGGATGCTGACGGGATGAGGCTGTGTGTGAGGAAGATGACCGGCAGAGCACGGCCCGGGCCCTGGGCAGTCAGACTCTTAGGCGGGCCGTCGCCGTACGTGCAGGTGAGCGGGGCTCAGGACCCCAAGTCGGGCCACACAGGCCGGATGGAGAGGAGGGCCCTGAGGCAGGAGTGACAGGACTGACTGGACACGGCATGAGCCTGAGGTGGTGAGGGTGTCCCTGGAGCTGGGTGGGTGGTGAGGCCAGTGTCTGAGCTGCAACCTGAAGCTGGAAGGCAGGGACCGGTGTCCTGAAGCTGCGGGACAGCGGCTCCTGTGCCGCCTGCCCGGGGCTTGACACCTCGCCCACCCGCCTCAAGATCCACCCAACTGGGAGAGCAACGCCTTCCGGCTGGGTGAGTAAAAGGAAGGCAGTTTTCATTCCGTTTGCTCCCTGTAATCTCTCATGTGGGAGGCTGGCAGAGAGATGCTTAGTTCTTTCCAGAGAAGCTGCCTTCCCAGCCAGTGTGGGCTCCCGGAGGGAAGCCGGGAGGGGACCAGCCCGGGTGAGCCCAGGCTCGCCAGCAGGTTCACACCTGAGATCTTACCTAACCCTCAGAACAACCTTGCGGATGAAGCAGTAACCCCGTTTCACTGATGAGGGTCAGAGAAGACACCCTTGTAGGTCACTGCACACTCGGATCTAATGGGTTCGCTCCTGCTGGGCATCGTGGGCCCACCCCTTGTGGCATGCTGTGGGTGGTGCAGGGCATTCAACACCCGCTCTGCCAGGCCCGTGAGGACAGTGTGAAGCAAATCACCTTGTCTCAGCCAGGGGCTCCTCAGCGGTAGTAGGGGACAGTCTCTGGTGAGGGTGCTCTGAGAATCAGTGAGGAGAGGCTCAGGCACCACAGGGAGACACCCAGCCCATTTTAGCTCTCATCCTGCCCCTTCTCCTTCTTGTCCTAGACTGTGGTGCCCAGTCTCTGGTTTATGTCAGAGGGCGGAGCGTCAAGTGTGGCTTTGCTACCAGAAAGCTGGGTAAGGTCACTTTTCTTCTGGATGCTACCTTCTGCTCCGGTCTGAATTGTGTCCCCTACACATTCAGAGGTTGAACCCTTAGCCCTGGTGTGCATTTGGAGTAAGGAAGTCATTAAGGTCAAATGAAGTCATAAGAGTGGGGCCCTAATCTGACAGAATTAGTGTCTTTATAATTTTTTGTCTAGAAGATCTATCCACCGATGTCAGCGGGGTATTGGAGTCCCCTGCTATGATTGTATTGCTGTTGATTTCTCCTTTGAAGTCCTCCAAATGATTTTGAATATATGTTGGTGCTCCTATATTGGGTGCATATATGTTTACCAAGGTTATATCTTCCTGTTGGATAGATCCTTTCAATATTATGCAGTGGCCTTCTTGGTATCTAGTTATGGCCTTCATTTTGAAATCTACTTTATCAGATATGAGTATTGCTACCCCAGCTTTTCTTTTCCTTTTCATTTGCTTGAAAGATTTTTTTCCATCCCTTCACTTTCAACCTATGTGAGTCTTTTGTTGTGAGGTGGGTCTCTTGTAAACAACATATATATAAGTCATGCTTTCTTATCCAGTCAGCTACTCTGTGTCTTTTTATCGGATCATTCAAACCATTCACATTTAAGGTGATAATTCATATGTTCTTATTTATTGCCATTTTTGTTTAGTGTGGTTCTATTTTTCTTCCTATTTCTTCTACTAATTACAGCAGTCCTTTTAGCATTTCTCACAGTGCTGGTTTGGTGTTAATAAATTCCCTTAGCCTTTTTGTGTTTTTTTTTTTTTTGTCTGGAAAGCTCTTTATTTGACCTTCTATTTTGAATGATAGCCTTGCTGGATAGAGTAGTTTTGGATTCAGATCCTTGTTTTTCATGACCTTGATTACTTCATGCCACTCCCTTCTGGCCTGTAGTGTTTCTGTTGAGAAGTCAGCTGAGAGCCTTATGGGGGTTTCCTTTGTAGGTCTCCTGTTGCTTATCTCTTGCTGCCTTTAGGATTCTCACTCTGTCTTTAATTTTTGGTATTTTAATTATTATGTGTCTTGGTGTGGGCCTGTTTAGGTTCTTCTTATTTGGGGCTCTCTGTGCTTTTTGAACTTGAATGCCTTCTTCCTTCACCAAGTTAGGAGAATTTTCTGTCACTATTTCTTTAAATATATTCTCTAACCCTTGCCCATTTTCTTTCTCTTTGGGGACTCCTATGATGCAAATGTTATTACATTTCCTGTTGTCCCACAGTTCTCTTAAGCTTTTTTAATTGTCTCTTTCTGTTTTTTAATTGTTTTTCCCTTTTGGTCTTCTGATTGGTTGATTTTTTTCTACCCTGTCTTCTAATTCCCGATCCGGTCCTCAGCTTCCTCTACTCTGCTGGTTAGTCCTTCCAATGTGTTCTTAATTTCTGCTATGTCATTCTTTATTTCCACTTGGTTGGTTTTCAGTGTTTCTATATCTTTACTAATGGTGCTGATGTCCTTACTCATGCTGTTGAGCTTCCTCAAGATCATGGCTCTTAACTCTACCTCTGATAATTTGCTTAACTGCATTTCATTGATCTCATTTTCGATAGAGTTCTCTTGTTCTTTCATTTGGGATTTGTTTCTTTGTTTCACCATTTTGGCTATCTCAGTGGGTTTTGGAGCCTGCCAAATTTTCTCTGTGGGTGTTGGTGTTCTGCTGTTTGTGGCTCCGTCTAGTGGGTTTTGATGAGCCTGGGTGGGCCCACATTAAACACCACTGTCAAGTCTTACTTTCTTGGGTAGATTTGCAAGCCCAGGAAAGGTTAAATTATCCTCTAGCTTTTTCCTGGAGGCTAGTAGTCTCAGTTACTCACTGCCTTAGAATGTAGCCCTGGTGTTCTGCATAAGAGGATTTTCAGAGGGTGGGATAGATGCTGGTTGTTAATGAGCCTCAATTTGCATTTCTTTGCCTCACCTGAGAAAGGCTGAATCTCCAGGAGGGAGCTGCTGCTTTCCCCCACAGCTCTGGGAAGGAGCACACTGGCTGCTGTTCTGTGTGGCTACAACTCAGCAAAAACTCTGAGTGCCCTCCAAATCCCGGGTGTCCCCACAGAGTTCCAGCCCAGTCTGTGCTCCCTCTGCCGGAGACCCAAGGTGAGTGGCTGTAGCTATTTTAGTGCTCTGTCCAGGCTCTGCGCTATGGAGCAGGCTTGGTCTTTATCCCCGAAGGGCTCTGCTCACAGCTACAACTGCTGCTGTCCATGGGCTCCCAGCCCGCCACCCTCTCACGCCTCTGCAGATTTCCCAGTGTCCCTGGTTATATGGTCCTGTCCTGCTGCTTTTCTGTTGCTTTTTCCCAAGGATTTGTCTTTATTTTAGTTGTAATTCTCGTTTGGTCCTGGGAGATCGTCTGTGTAGCTTCCATTCACTCCACCTCCATTTTCACATCCTCTACACCTTTCTTGTGCGTAGCTGGGTCTCCCAGGCCTTTCTGGTGCCCCCACTCCCTGCAGGTCCCGTGGGTAACTGGACTTCACAGTTCCTTTGGGGACCTGGCTCTTTGCCTATGTTATGGTCTGCTGGGTCATACAGTCCTCTCTGGTGCTTCAGCACCCCACAGGTCCCGCGGGTAATTGGATGGCACAGTCCCTGTTGGGTCACACAGGCCTCTCTGGTGCCCTCGCACCCTGCAGGTCCCGTGGGCGGGCAGCTGGATTGCATCAG